AAGTGCGAACACTTCTCCCACCGTCGAGAGGAAGCCCCAGGTATCCCGCTCCTACGGCCATCTAGCGGGTTTTTTTTGACCGGTAAACTGCCCCTCACCGTGTTTATTTGTTGGAGTGGCCNGGCGGGTGTGGATAGAAGGAAGGAAGCCAAGTGTCCAAGCAGCTGTTGCTTTTGGGAGACTGAGCTTTGTCCAGCCTCTACCCGTTGACCTTTCAGGCATGATCGCATCTCCGGCTGTGAAAAGCCATACTGTGTAGCTCGCAGGGTCACTGAGGCGCGCAAGCCATCACACCACGTCAAGGTGCAGTCTCATCGTGATGGCCCCAAGGGACTGTACTTTCCCCTTCCCTTTTTCTGATATTTATTGATGACCTTTTTTCAACTTCAAATCCTATTCACGCCTTAACCGATGCCGCTACTCTACACACTTCTCTGTCAGATTCCTTTTCGCGCATCGCTAACTTCAGCATTAGTGACGACCGCTCCTCCCTAAATTCTGATCGGGGCCTGATCTCTGCTTGGAGCTGTAATGTATTCTGTTCAATGCCAGTAAAACTTCCCTCATGTCCATTTTTCTTAAACACATATATATTTCTCCCCTTCCTTGAATTTCAACCCGAACACTCTCCGTTCCACAAAATCATGCAACCTATTGGGTCTTTCTTTATCTTCTTCTCTTTCATGGTCACCTTACANCCGCGCTTCGCGCAAAATTGGCTTCTTCCACGCCAGACGCTTCTTCACCCCCATTCACCTTCTCTCGCTTTACTAAGCTCAGATTCGCCCTACACTTGAATACTGCAGTCATGTGTGGGGTGGAGCTTCGTCTACCTCACTATCTTTTCTTGATCGAGTTCAACGTAAGGCCATCCGTCTCAGCAACGACTCGTCCCTAACATCGAACTTGTAGTCACTAGCCCGCCGTCGGGCAGTAGATTCTTTATCATTGCTCTATCAATACTACTTTGGATTTTGTTCTGATGAACTGTGCGCACCTGTCCCTCTCCCACCTGTTCTTCTTCGTAGATCCCGCGCACAAGCGGCTAGCCATCCATTTCAAGTGACTATCCCCGGGTGTCGCATTTCTAACTTTCAATCATCTTTTTTTCCAAGAAGAGCACAACTGTGGAACATTCTCCTTCTTTTGGTCTTTCCTCCAACGTATAACATTCATGTTTTTGAACGCAGAATTAACAAGCTGGTTCTAGCTTGAATGTTCCCCATACCTTCCCACTTACAGAATACCTTCGGATCATGGGGTTTACTCCTTTTACTGTATTTACTTTCGTGTGATAAAAAATTACACATGGCTAAGCTGTTCCGCTTCTGTATATCCTCTTAGTGCATAAACTCAATTTTTACCTGCCGAACCATGTCTCATTTGCAGTTGCGACTCCAGATTGGAGGAGACCACAGGGAGGTCAACAGAGGACGTGGCGACGAGGATGAAGATATGAACAGAGCGACTAGGTAGATTAGATGTCTCCCGTCTTCCAGACTGGGGTACAAACGACTCCAGAATTGGTTGTTTACAGAAATCGAAGGAGATTAAAAGGAACCGACATTAGTACCGTTCTTGGTGTCATTTCTTATCAGGTCAGAATGCTCGAAAAGGTATGTATGCACAATTAGGGTGTGGACTCAGCGTGTTTACCACGAGGTTTACTTTGTTTACCTCCTTCCACTTAGGTCCAATTCCTCTCTATCTTATACATTCACATCTATTTTGTGTACATCGTGAGATTGGCAGTGATGTTGATGTGTTCTTTGAGAGTATCATTGATCGATGAAGATAAAAAGTGTGAAGAATATAAGTCACAGTGACAGTGTACAGGTCATGCAGTTAGCTTTCATCGTAAAACGGGTCATTTTTATGTCATGATTGGATTCCATTAGGATTTGGTAAAATTGGAACACAGAAATTACCCTGCCGGTTCAAACGCCTGGTTTCATTTGGCAGATTCAGTGAGTGGTTGTGAAATCGGTAGTCCAGTTGCACTATATGCATAATCATTAGTCATGGATTTGAACCGGTCGAAATCGGGATCAATTAACTTTCTTAGTATTCAATGCACTGATACAATGAACCTTCGGATCGTAGGTCGGATTATCTGGGGTCACATAAGGAAGGCAGAAATCAGTCAGTCAGTCGGTTATAATGTTGGCAGTGGCGATCACGACATCCTAGTTGAAGTGGTATGACGAGAACCGCATGACCACCATCAACAACTATGTTACTGGTTTAAGTTTTTGTTTAGTGAAAGTCATTGTAAATTATATGATGAAATCGTCGTGTAAAGGAGGCGTGAGCTGAAAAGCTAGGAAGCCCTGGACAGCTGCTTCGACCTGATTGGGTCTCATCAGTAGTGCGAATCCATCGATCCAACTGGGGATCGAACCAGGGACNCCTCATAGGTAGAACGCAAGAATACTATCCACTGAGTCACCGGGCAACTGATCAGATCGTTTTCATTCTCCATGGAGGATATAATAATTAGTCAGATTGTGCAAGTTTCCAATCGCATCATAACCCCAGAGGCTAGTACTGAGATAAGCGAGGCACGATGTCCGCAACAAGTTCGCAAAGACGGATTGTACTAGATTGTGCACTAGGAAAATTTCAAACGGTCTAACCAGCAGGCCGCTGGCCCAGTGAATAGTATGCTTGTGTTCTGCCTGTGAGGTCCCGGGTTCGATCCCCAGTTGGGTCGATGGATTCGCACTACTGATGAGACCTNCGAAACAGCTATCCTGTGCTTCTTAGCTCATCAACTCATACCTCATTTACATGACAAATTCTTCCTATGTTAAAATCAAATCCCCCATCTCTCATAACTGTAAATTCCAATCGGCCGGCGTAAACGCTCTTCTTAATAATGCGAAGCGTATGAGCACTTGTACGATCAATTACGGCGGTTTTACCAAAAATGAGGATTCGGATATCACTTCGACAAATTAAATACGTCAGAGCCAATCTATGAAGCATGTGCAACCGATACGGCATTTCATTTCGAGCGATCACACAATGGATCACAAAGGATCATTCCAGTAGTGAAACATCAGTGACAGAATGTCCGAGGGAATTTCACGAACGGTCGATACACGGACTAAACAATTGCAAACTAATTTCCCACGATCAATAAGCATGGATACTGACTGACCAGAAACTGTTGCGATGATCTCTAGCTATACCAACTCCATTCGATTTTCGACCATATGCACACGCGTGTGTGGCACAATTAATCGACAGTTCACTCAACCATCGGTTGGTTTTCCAGCGAATCAATGGGACCGGTGAACCATCCATCATGCGTAGGTCCATTTTTACGCCCCAATCGACCGGCCTCATTCCACCCTAATTTGGAGAGATACCATGGTAGGAAGCATGGTGTTGCGAATGGAACACAAACTAACTCAGTCATCCAGGGCAGCCGGCGCAGGTTTGTTTGTGCAACGGAACTGACGGTACACACGTGTGTGTGTTTACAATTGTGGTCCGTGTGCGCGCGCGCGCAATTCGATGACGCATATATGCAGGGGCTGTTCGCTGCCTTTTTGCTCTGTTCGAGTTGACGACAACACCGAGGCCACGCCAACCACCGGTATGCATGACCAATAAGGGGCCTTGTGTTAGTTTCACGACTCCATTCGGTTTCGCCAGCCCGAACTACACGTGTGCTCGTGTGTGTGTGTGTGTGGTGCACGCGAATGAGAGAACCGGTCGAGTGGATGAGATGATGCTTGTGCTATTGCCCGTCGATCCAGTTAGAAAAACAAACGGGCCAACTGCGTTTCGCGCACGTGCGCACGCGCATATTTGTGTGGGGACAAGGACAAAGCGAAGGCGAGCGAGCAACAAGTGCATAAGGCATGTGGGTGCAGAAAACAACTTACCCGGCAAACGCTACAATCAATCGTTGTACTAGTCGTTCTTCGTCCAAGGGAATTGCCTTGTTGTGCACAAAGAAGTGCTTGTTCTCGAACAGATTGGGTAACTCGACAAGGGCACGGGTGTCGGAGCCATTTGTGTCCTTTGATTCTGATTTTGCTGTGTCTGAATCCTCACCGGATTCACTTTTGTCCACAGTGGAAGGTTGCATCACACTAGGGAACCGCAGAAGAAAAGAACATGTTGTGTGTGTGAGAGAGAGAAATACACATGGAGACGTGTTGACCTGTTCAAAAGGCGTCCGGTCATTCATCTGGATTGGAAGTGTAGGAGAGAGCAAGCAAAATGGTCTACGGGCACAGAACAAGACACTAAGCCTCGACAAGCTTCATTAAACTCATTTTTCGTGTTCCAATAACTATTTCATAAAGCTGGCGATACACTTGGCGTTTAAATGCGAATCAGCAGCGGTGGTGAGCCGCAGTTTGTTCAGACTCTGCTGTCACAACCGCACTCAACCACAACAATAATGTAAAACTTCGACTGAAACGGATACTACGAGGCACAGCCCGAAAAAAACCGAAAATGCAGTATTATGAACACAAGTAACGAGTAGTCAATTGAGCTGATGAGTTTCTTTGACAGGAAACAAAGAAGTTTTACAAAGATCAGAGTCTGATACTCTTCTCCAACTTGTCTTCGGCCACATACTTTATTGTTTGCCGACGACGTCAAAAACTGAAGGACAGTAGCACCTTCTGAAGGAATTATAGGAAACAGTTGACTCAAGTTGTCTCAGGCCCATGATGAACATCATGAAATCCTAAACTGAGAAACACAAGGTTGAATCGTGGCGTCGCAGGGATGGTTTCCCATGTAATTCTGAAAACCAAATACTAACATGTTCCAATTCTTGGCTGGCAGATTGGAGTATTTGTCAAGATTGTGAAAAGGTCAGTACCCCAGGTGGGATTCGAACTCACGCCTGGACGCCGCCTACGCGTTTGTACAGCGCACGCTCTACCAGCTGAGCTGAGACCACACCGATGGCACTGATCATTTCATATTTGAATCACCCATCCAACTTACAGAGGTATATGGCATCCACCAGTTAGGATGTAAGCAGACTGCCACGGTAGGTTTTCCTTAGAATTCATCGGAGTGCAATAGACGAGGCTTGGGAAGTTATCGTTTAAGTGAACTTGTGACGTTATGACGTCGGCAATGGATTTTCGAAACATGCTTTCAAACTGCTTGAAGCATATTTATTTTTCCTTGTGCTGTCAGCATACATTTGACTACCGAGTGATCCATGTATGCCTGGAATCCATAGCTGAATTTTCATTTCTTATCCGACCAGAATGTTTGAAAAGGTATGCGTACAGTTAGATTGTGTACTATGCTGACCATAGAGGTTCACTTCCTTTTCCCGTCCCTGAAATACGCCCCATCTCTGTTCACCTTGATAACTTCGTATGCGTTGCGAGTTTGGAAACGGTCAGTCTTTCGCTGTACGACGACGATGATAAAAAGCGTTCCAAGAGTCCGTGGAGAATAACAATCAAAATGATCAAAGGACAATCGTTCTGCATTTAAACGAAAAGTCGGTACGTACCGGAACTGTACTCGTCTTAGTAGCACCGCACTTTGAGAACTGGGAACTTCGTGTATCAAGTACCGCATCAACCCAACCACTGTACTCTACTGACACTAATCACAAATGATACTCTCATCATCTCAGGGGACGCACCCTAAGGTTGAGCCTAATAGATCACTGGCATTACAGTTTTGGTGTCTCCCTTCCAAATGGTATGCACACGCCATTGATTCGTTCGTGTTAGGGTTGGTTGAAGTATTGATGCAGCTAACTGTTCAACGCCGGTGGGTGAATCTGGATATTGCTTGATTCATTTGTACCACCATCAGAACTCATTACATAAAGATCCTGTGGGATTTGATCATCCTTGTAGTTCGAGTATACTAAAGTTTGACTCAGAAGTGCAAATTTATATACAGGATCTCAGATCANAAAGCCACTAAGGACACTAGGCAATGATTTACGGCAAAGGTGGAAACAAAAAGAAGAAAATACATCGGCGATCGAATAGTGCAAAGGGATTTGAGGAAGGGAGGTTAATCGAACTCTGGCCAGGGAGATTGAAACAGTTGCTCGTCTGTGTGCGCGAGAGACGAATTTGTTCAGATTCGAACTGGACATGAGGTATAACGCATGAGTGGTAGAGACACCTAACGACAGATACCAGGCATTGATTTCTGAAAGTTACCTAACCGGAATTTCAGTGACAAAACAAACAAAGGAGGCTGAGAAGGGATTGTAGTGATGATGGTAGATTTCACAGATAACCAAAATAGCACACAGTGGATGAGTTTGTGCGTGCTTTCAAAGAGTCACACGAATCAAGATATTCGAAGTGAATTAGGAGACAAAAACACTGACAAAGCTCCGGCATATATGCAACTATTACACTACGGGCAGATGGAACGTGCGAGGGTGTGTGCAAGCCAAACGTGAGAAATTTTTGGGAACGATTGGGTNACTCACTCGTGAATCGCCTAATCAGTGTGTCTCCTCGCACATAGGCGGCAGCAGCGGGGAAACATCATGCACGTGGAGCGAATTGGACGAGGCGAGTGATGCATGTGTGCCGCGCGAGACATGAACTCAGACCTCAAATGTGCAATTAGGCGAGTATGACCTGAGCAGGATAGCATCTGTATATGAGAATAACCTTGCTGATCAGGCATAGCAGAAAGCGCGCGCGTGCGTGCTCGGTCGAGAGCGAGCGCGAAATGAGAACTATATGACACGATAGACCGGGGCCCACAAACGAAATGGGCCTGATTGAGGACGCACATACGCGAGCGCGCGAGAGAGAGGGCACGTGCGCGTGAAGTGCACTATGCCAGGTCAGTGTATAGCACGTATGAATGGGAGCACGAATGAAAGCGCAGTTTTGTCTTGACTGTGCATACGCGCATCGAATGTCATGGTGTTGTTGTTGGAGCAAAAACGGCATGATACATTTTATAGAATCGGATATTCCAAAACAACAGAACGCAGATACGTATGCGTAAAGATTTCGTGGGAATTTATATGTGAGGACATTAGAATTGTTTCCATGGGGAGCATAACTTATTAGACAGGCTTTACCGATCACCGCTAAGCTCACAATGTAAATTCCAGTCGAGAGAACTCACAAGCACAACCCTGCATAGCACATACGCGATCGCTTTACCACATCCGTACACGTGTAGATTGCGATCAGGTAGATTCTTTTGCAGACAATTTCAGTTTTACATCCATTAACCATGCCTTTTCATATACCGGTTTCGGTAAACAATAAAATAACGAAATTAAAACCAGATAGCCACAGAAAAAGGACAATACAAACAGGAAAAGAGCGAAGTTAACTCATCAGCCATTTCAGCTGCACGCATGGATCAGGTTTAAAATTCTTAAACTTATAAGAGACTTGGTATGTTTTAGTAATTTCGCAATTATTATGTTCTAAATGGCCTCAGCTGAGTGGGTTGGATAAATACAGGGTTTCTTATCGCAAAGATGTTGCTTCATTAGAAATTCCAGTTTGATTTACCCAATTCATGGCATAAAACTTGAAATTTATCGTTCATAATAATTGATACATTGTGAAAACTCATGTTTGTGAGTTGTCCATTCAAGCTGTTGATGAGAAAGATTGTTGTGCCGTGAGTTGTTTGTCATGCGGTCTTGTATCAGATGTGTGAGATAAGATATGAAAAATAAATCAGGCCATAATTGACCAATGGACAGAATACAACTAGGTTAACCAGAAAAACAGGGTCAGTTTTGGGGTATTTTTAACCGGAGTCTCTAGTTAATTAAAGCCTGATCCGAAAGGGAGCATGGTGATATATAAAAATCGCCATTCATTGAGGATCAGTGCCCAGTTCATCATGTCACATATCCAAGGTGACCAATACACTTTGATACCCCATAAAAGCGGTAGTCACTGCCATAATAAGGAAAATGTGTGTGTTCGTGAGGTTCCTACTCCTATTATTATTTAAATTGGAATTAGAGTTGTTAGCCAACCTTCATAAATGAACTGCTAGTGGTTTGTAGACACGGTCATAGACGCGTATGTTGACTTTTTATTAACTCATTTTGGTAGGAAAACAACTCATCCNGAAGGCATTGAGTAGGGCTTCTTCAGTAGGGGCTATTTGCGACGATTGGCCGTATAGGCGCATTTCGCGGGGTGGAAAGGAAGAGTAGTCAGTTAAGACTCAAGACAACTACGCCCAATCATAATGAGGCTTTCGGATTGGTACATTAGCGATAGCGTACGAAAATATTCGAACAGTTCGAAAGCTGCGTGATTACGAATATGAGTTTCAGTTCAGATTTTACAATCATTGACTTGCACTTTCGTGCGCCGGTTTTGGTTGCTGTCTTTCAGTTGCCAATTTGGATAAAATAGCGAAATGAAGATTGGAATGTCGAAGCAAATTCAAGCGGAAGACAGAGAATTCATGCAGAATGGTGATACGGGAATAATGAGTGGATGCACGAGCGCCACTGTTTGCGACACCCAGCCATATCACTCATTGTCTCCAACCACCGGGGACCATCATCCCGAGGTCCCCAGCCAGGGAGCCTAACGGGATCTAATGTGACCTAGTCTCCTGGTTGGGGTTTTCATACCCTCATGCCAAGTCTTAGTTTGACCACCCTTGATCTTTTACGAACCGCTACCTGCCTCGGTAAACATCGCTCGCCGCGGCAACCTATCTGGTGACATGCGTAGCACATGTCCCAAACAGCGTAATCTATGGAGGTCGATCACTTGTTCCAGTGGACGACCGCAAATGCCTAAAACTCTACGCCTAACCTCAGCATTGCTCGTCCGGTTACCCCACAAGACTCGTGCAATGCGACGTAGACAGCGGTGTTCGAACACCGACAATCCATTTTTATCCTGTTCCCGTAAAGGCCAAGTCTCTGCACCGTAGAGCAGGACTGGCCAAACCACTGCAGCATACACTCGACCCTTCACAGACAGCCGGATGTCGCGACGGCGCCACAAATGTCTCAAGTTGGCAAATGCCAATCGAGCCTTTTGTATGCGCGCCGACACTTCATCTGTGATGCGTCCGCCGGGTGAGATATAGCTGCCTAGATAGCAAAATTTGTCTACTTCCTCTACTACTT